TCACATATTATTTTGAGGTCACAGATTAAAAATTTTGTACGTCACAAATTATTTTAAAGTCACAGATTTTTAAATTAGTTGGTCAAGTATTATTTGAATCACATATTATTAAATTTTTAGGTCACAATTGAGTAATTGGTCACAAATTACCAAACATTTGATCACAGATTACTAACATTTGGTCACAGACTATCCCCACTACTACTATGGCCACTTTCGACCACCCTCACCACGCCACAACAGCACCAACAAAGCCACTGACAACCACATCACACCACCCAATCCCCTGGAAGGAAAAACATATTATAGTAACCATTTCTCAGGCTAGGAAAAGCACGTGAGAACCACAAGTTTTATACCCTCTTTCTCCTCCACTTCATCAATAATTATAAATATTTAAACCTTCAACGTCAAATTAGAGAAAAAAAAAAAGATAAAACAAATATGCTTCTTCATAACCAAATTTCCATTGCTCTACGTACGCCATTGATACCAATAAAACCCACACCCAAACACCAACCAAAAAAGGCATCTGTTTTTGCCCAACAACGGAATCCACCGCCACTAGCAACGAACATTTCAATCTCTGACGAATCACTGTCGTCACGAGGATTCGCTCTCCACTGTACGATCGACAACCTCGACCACCTCAATACCGTCTTTGTCGCCGTCGGATTCCCGGGCGGGACATCGGCAAGATCCGGTTGGTGTTGAAGCACATGGACTCGCTTCTATGGGTCGAATACGAAAAGGCCAGTGGCATTTGCTAGAACGACAGGTGATGGAGTGTTTAATGTGATAATTTGGGATGTGATTGTGGATCCGAGCTTCCAGGCGTTGGCGCCTTCTCGTCTTCCAATGGCGTCGTTAAACGAGGGAGAAAGTAGAGAGAATGAGAGGAGAGAGAGAAGGGAGGAGAGGGGAGAGAGGAGAGGAGACGAGAGGAGAGGAGGTGAGAGAGAGAGAAGGGAGGGAGGGAGTAGAGAGCGAAAAATTAGGGTTAG